AAAGAAGGGCAGTAGTTGGTAGAAAACGGTTCCTTTCGTTGAGACCTTTAATTAGAATACAATGAGAGATAAAATTAATTTTTACCAGAAAGTTATAATTTGTAACACAATTTATTTCGGATGAGACATTTCATTAGAATGAATACATAGAAGGGTAGAACATGGCTCTACACTCTAGCTCTCACACTAGCATATTCATAGGTTTTATCCAATCGATCCAATCCTAACTATAAAAGAATCCAACTCGCAAAGGAAAAGCAGCAATCCACCGCAGTTCTAGAGACCTGCGTCGATTTGTGTAAGATTTATATTTTTCTTTACAACAGGACCACCTGCAGGAAGCATTTTCCGTTGTCGAAGAGATCAGGAGATAAATATTATTGTCCGGAAGATCGCCGACCAATCGCAGGCATTCTTCACGCCTACGCATAATCGAGAATCACCAATATACGACCTATCAACATTAGCAAAGAGTATATACTCTTTGACATTAGTAACAGGCCGTAGGAATCTCCACCTAAGAAGATCGAGAGTGCAAAAAGGAGATTACGATTTTGTCTAGTTTTTATTCTGTGTGCACTTTTATTTGAGCGGACCAATTCTCTAAAATTTTGCGTTGTAGTGTGCCGAATATTTAGCCCGCCGCGTAGTTAATAATTTTGCACAGTAATTCTTTACCCAACTGTTTGTTTTGACTGTCAAGGTCGAAATTTATTTAATCTACTGAGGATTTTAGTAGCCGCATTTTTCCATTTACGAGCTCCCAGCGAGTTTATAATTTTGCGGTGTCCGTCCGTCCGTCCGTCCGTCCGTTAGCACGATAACTCATAAACGAATGGACCGATTACGGTGAATCTTTGCAGGTGGATTCTTTATCAAATTTTCATATCGGAGTTCGTAAATTGGCAATGTAGACCAAAAAATAAAGTAGGCCCTTTTGATATCTCCGTTGGTTATGAACCGAATTGCATGAAATTCAATATGCGCATAGCTTTAGCCATATAAAACACAATTCCAAAAGTTATTATTATTTATTATTATTTATTTATTATTATTATTAGTTGAGCCTAATCAATCAGCATTCACAGTGCCCTTTGCGCATCTCGACCATTTACAGACCGAATTGCGAACTTTCTTATTTCATTTAAATGAAATTTGATACATAGCCACTTGGAATAAAAGCAAATTTAACGCCAGTTTCAAAATTTGGTTTTGCGCATACGCAGTGCCAACTTTCTTATTTATGGAGGCATTCAAATGAAATTTCATACAAATACACTCTAATAAAAGCAAAACTAACATCAGGTTTAAAATTTGGCTTTGCACATGCTATAGCCATACCCAGGGTCTCGTTTGCTATATTTGTTTAATTTATTACTATTTAGTATTTGTAGGGAAAAATTGCTTTTTCGGAAAAAATGATGAGTTGCGGAATATAGCGTGATTGGTTTAGGCACAGATATACCTTACGTATATCTGTGGTTTAGGTTACAGATAAGATTCTGTTTATTTTACAGTCGCCGTTATCGAGGTTGCTGCGTTGAGTAGATTTATGGCTGTCAAGCAATCTGATTGGGTGGAAAAATTAGTTTTATCGGTGGAAAAAGTATGCGTCCCTGAATGGGTGTCTGTTAAATAGGAACAGTAGTGGAACGGGAGAGAAAATTATCGTGAAGTGGTCAGCGCAGTTAAGTCGGTTACCTATCATTTAGCGTAGGCTGCGTAGGGTGTATTTGATTTATGTCGCGAGCGAAGTTAATTTAACCCCCTGTAATTTATTATAGAGTGGATTTCATTTCGTGTTAATCGAATTCGCGTCGAGAACTTAGGGCAGTTAAGTTCACCTGTAATTTTTAGAGCATTTTTTCAAATTTATTTGTAAAAAGGTAGATTTTCAGCTCAGTTTGGCTGGCCGGCAGGCTAGCTAGCAGCAAATATCTTTATTTATTTATTTAATTTGCAAAGTATGTTTACAGTTTACAAGTCAGACCAAATATTGTTCTGATTGTGGCCTTTTGTATTCTAAATTCTAAATAACTTCTTGTGTTCTGAACTTTTTTATTTATTTATTTATTTATTTATTTATTTATTTATTATCCCTCTCTTGTTCTGGGCCCTCAACAGGCTTGCGCCCAATTACAGAGTGATCCGCATAAAGCTTTTTAGAGATGCCTCTGCAGAAGGTCTTAAGTTGTTCTATACTACTCCGAATTAGGAAAACTGCAGGAAAACCTAATTCGGAGTAGAATGCTCGAAACTGGTCCATAAAGCCATAAAGCCGGTACTTTGACCCCAAAAAACTACACCGAACCTCACCCTACTTTCAAAGTTAGAGTGGTAAAGCAGTTTTAAAATTCAGATAGTGTTTCATGACTCCAAGTGAGATAATTTATATGTGCAGACCATTTTAAATCGTCCTGGATGGTTATCCCTAAACATTTATTTCTTTTAGGAGCTGCCATAGAAGAACGCTTGTAGTAAAACAACGAATGTTATACGTGTACCCATGGCCTAATAAGAGTATTACCGGGCCGTGTCAATAACTTTACTCGTGCTTCTTCGAGGGGTAACCGACTTCAAGCGCCCAAAAGTTACCTTGGGGTGCGAATTTTGTTACGCGGTTTAAAGTTTTTCAAATCACGAATCACGGGCTCGCTTTCTCGTGTCGCCAATAAAAGCTCGAACTATGAGAAATGTGTCAAACATTTAGTGTTACCTATTTTGTGGAGGGTTTTATCGAAACCTACCAAAATGGCGCATAGGAGTGTCAGAAGTGGGTACCAACGAAGAAAATGTGGCATCCTCCGATATGATTTGACTGATGGTGGTGCCAAAACTTCAAACGAGGATAATAGTTAATTGTAGTGCTACAGAAGAAAGTGAAGTTTTTCAACTCGAGTTCAAAGTTTGAGACATGAGCGTAGCGAGTGTGCAAGGTTAGTCGATTGTGTCTTTTTACGGCACAAACCTCCACCAAAGTAGTACTAATAAACCCTTAAATCAGATCTAAAAAAGCGGCAGAGTACCTCGGTGTGACCCTACGGAGTCATTGGATTTGACCCAGTTTCAATAAGCTTGTTACATGTGGTACCTATGTGAATAATACAACAAGAATTGTTATCTTTTTTTGAGTTCCACTACATTTTTATGAACTTTAGCTTATTACAAATTGTAATACATGATCTTTCTAGAATTTTTAATTTTTAATCGATAAACAATCTACAAAACCGTTTTCGACTGTGAAGAATCTATAAACACCGTGTTTTCCAATTGCCTGTCTAATTCCCGAACTAATTTTTGTAACTTGACAAATTGTACATTTAACTTCTACATTAATAAAGAATAATTTGATTTTTGACACATATCCTACTTGTCGCATATTACTATAACTGTCACTTGGTTGCTAAGCTGCTAAGCACGTTGCTATGATACACTTACCGCCCTACGTTGGTAAGTGCACCTTACCGCCTTGAAAATGAATTAGTAAGTAGCCGACAATAACCGATCGTGCAAAAAAGAATATTGCCATATTATTGGAGTTGACGTTTTACTTTTTCATGATTACGGACCACCTTAAAATATCGCTCTAAAATTTTAATATTCATATTTCGTATTTTATAATAACTTACAGCTAGAGCCTAAACGTTTTATCGCTTATTAACGAGGTCATAGTTTTGCGGTGTCTGTCTGTCTGTTCACCACGAAAACGAGTCGACCGATTAGCGCTAACAATGAAATTTGGCAGGTTGATTCTCTATCAAGTTTGTAGATCAGAGTTTGTGAATTTGGCAATGAAGGGCAAAAAATAAGGAAGGCTCTTTTGACATCTCTGTTAGTTATGAACCGAATGCATGAAATTCAAAATGGGCCTAGCTCCTAGCTTTAGTCATACAATACGCAGGCGCTCGTTTGCTATATTTGTTTAATTTATTTTAGGGTAAAATTGTTCGAGCCCACCGCGTACATTGTTATTATTAGGCAATCTTTAAAAAAGGTACAATTTATTTGATACCGATATCGTTCTGGTACTCAGAAAGTGAAACACCAACACCACAGAGAATAAGAAGAGTTTGCAAACAATCGCTTGGTTTGATAGCTTGGCCTCTTGAGTTGAGTAAAGGATGTGAGGTAGGGTAGGTACGTTTTCATTGTCGCAATTCGGTCAACGGCCAACGGCTACAACGCGAACTCAACTGGTCAGTTGTGTGTTACTCTTATCTTTATTATTGCGTCACATTTTCATTCAAATGCAAGGCGCAAATTGATGCTGGAATTAAGAGGGGTGGCGATAAGCGCGGTAAAAGGTGAATTTCGATTAATAGCTCCACAAAAAGCTTAGACTAGGTATATTTAAAAATGACGAGCAGTCTTCGCGAGCAATTGTAACGGCTGAAACTTGTAACTAAATTACAATTAACTGTACTTTATTCACCGCTTCTCACGATACTTTGCAAATTCAAATACTCTGCCGTAAATACAATTTCTAGCCAGCCCGCACCGACGTACCTAACGGAATTGTTCAATTAAATTGCCTTCACATTGTGACTTGATAACAAGTAATGGAAAGAGGCAAGTAAGGTAAAGTCGTTACGAAAAAACACCAGCGGCTTCGCTTTTTAATAATAATAAATTGTAATTTATAAAAGTACAAAAGTTCTCCGTTTTCCGTTGGTAAGCGTATGTGAGGGGGAGCTTAGCTTTGATAGATTAAAGATGCGACAAAGGTAAATGACCTCATTCCGTACGGTGACAATTTCGCAAAGTGTTTGGAGCACTTTTACTTTTTCCGCCGATACTTCAGGAAGTGTCGGCGTAGGTCTAGGTAATGGCTCTAAATCTAATTACGCCGATCCGTTCCGTTAATAACGTGCACATCTTTTCTAATTCCTTGACCAGCTCCGGTGTCCGGGGGCTCCGGAGGGTTCTACGTCACATAAACGCCTGGTGAACTTTCCGGCGACGCGTGCGCAAGCTTCAATTTGCTTATTGTGTACTGCAGTTACGAATAGAGCACAGTATTCAATCTGTTTCGCTTCCTTTCAAAGGATTTATCCTAAATGAGTCGCTCTAACCTGTATTATGTATTTTTAATTTTTATTGCAAAACTCGCATAAAGCGCGCGCCAATGGCGATTATTTGATTTATTCTTAGTGCCAACATTCCATTTATACTTTACCTATATTTTTAGAGATCGCGTGTGATTAAGAATGTTTATTTTGAAAATAAAAATAAATTCTACGGCTAAAGTGAGTGGTGCCGTTACGAGAACCGAATCGGTTTTAAATTTCTACCTGTTTCGAAGTTGATCCGCGAAACCGCGCAAATTTGGAATTGGATGCCCAAATACGTACCTACTTTGAGAGAAAACCAGGGTGCAACAGATTTAAGGTGAATATTTATACCTAAGCGATACATATTTGATTTCTAGTCGAATTAGTAGGTGTCTGGAGGTACCTGTAACATATTTTTCTAAAATATAAATCGAAAGTAGGTGTTGCACGCAACGTTCTCTTTATTGCGAAAATGAGTCTTACGAAAGTAAGCATACGTGCCACGGCAGTGGTCGAGATTAAAAAGTTTTCCGGCAAGTTTTCGAAAAGTTTCTTGGAGGCATTTTTTTAAAATTCGACCCATTTTCTTAAGCGTGTGAATGGGGAACTGACAACTTGTTCAACTGTTGCTGGGCCTTCCACCTGCACAGTCTGCAGCCCATAACTCGCAGGTGTTAGGCTAGAGAACGGTTTACAAACAGAAATAGGGAAGCTGTTTTGATAACTCGTTTATTTATTTTTGGTCGCTTTGATATGATATCGCACAGCAATGCGCAAAGGCGAAGGATTGTGGAACGTGTAATTTTTTTACAAGCTTCAATCGATGTGAAAATATTTGGTTGACTACTAACGTGAGCGAAGGAGGGACGTATCTAACCTCTTTCCTAGGAAGGACGTAGGTACACGCTTTAGTTAAACTACTTCAATTGGAAAGTATGTCCCAGTAAATTTCCTTAAATTTGACTGTCAACAAGTAAATTTAGTTATTGATCGATGCGCACGTTACTGACGAATTGAATTTGTATGGGGGCAATATTAGCTGCACAGACTTGAGTAGGTAGCTAAGCAATATGCAAACAATGCCGATTACCTCAAGACCAAGACGGTACAATTATGCATTCATTAATAATTAATTTGCACCTTAAATTGGCGATCGCGTCACTACGTGAAAGTACGTAGACACGAATTCTTAACTAAGTCATTTATAAAAACCAGCGTAAACAAATTGGTGGGGAATTCTAATCGGTAGTAGATCGGAAGTGTTCCCACCCTCGTCTCTTTACCTTTCTACGTGCAATAAGCCCACTCCTACGCGTTACCCTGGAGCGTGGCATCCTGTTCTGCGCTCAGTTCTTATTGATATTTTGGCGGGGAACTTTAAAAGTTAACACGCGGCGTTTACATATTCAAACTTTGCGGAAAACCTCCATAAAAACGTCAGATAAGTTTACGTGACACGTGCTTATCTTTTATACAAAACTCAAATGAGAGTCATAATCGAGTTACGTATATTGAAAAAAACCCATTGTTGTTACCTATAGCATCAATAATAATAGCTTTTACATTTTTAGCGTATTTTCCTCAAAGTGAAAAATTGCTATTAGTCTAAGCTAAGCGGTACACAGAAGAATCTGAAGAATAATGCAGAAAGCATGCCATTTGGCATGGTCTATTTTAATGTCCAATAGATCGATTTGGCCCGCAGCACCCCCTTCCCCCACCATGTGGAACCAATATGGCGGCTATTTAAGAAAAAATCTGTTTCTGACGAAAAAAATATACATTTGTATTTCAAGGATGGCATGCGAGTAATGTTTTAAGGATAATTTGAGGTGTAATAAATTTAAGCTTGAATTCGTTTTATCCTCTGTTTTATTCTTCATGGTACTCTAATGAAAGGTCTTAACGAAAGGAATTAATTTCTACCAACCATAGCCCTCCTCCTCGGCCTCTTATCGTAATCGAGTATATTCCCTTATACCTCAAGAACGGATTGTCGAAAGAGGGACTCACAAACGGCGATTGAGACGTCTGCAATGGTGATGTCAAAACAAAAGCTATTTCGGTTAAAAAAATGCGCTGTATCTGCAATTTATACTCGTTTAATTTTGATAACACTGTTTGGTTTTGATGAAACATACGCTCGGCTCCGGCAGCTCTGCCACCTCGACTCACTCTGATTTGTAACGGTCCATAGCTCGGCTTCGCCTCGCACTTTTCACTGTTCAACAAAGACAATTTTTCAATTTCAGTTTTGGTACGGTAAGAAAATGATATTGAGCAGACTGATACAATTTTTTTGAATTTGTGAGTAATATTTTTGTTTTTTGGAAACATCATCTATACAAAGCGAGTTTGTTTGTGAAAATTTTGATTCAACTTGTTGAATCCAGATCTGCATATAATTGTACATAAGATTTTTTAATTTTGACGACAATTTCTGGTTTTGATGAGACATACCCCTCGCCTCGCTCTAATTTGTAGCGGTGCATAGCTCGGTTTCGCCTCGCACTGTTTACTGGTCAACAAAGACAATTTCTCAGTTTCAGTTTTGGTACGGTAAGAAAATGATATTGACATTTTTTTTTTAATTTTTTTTTTTTTGGAAACATCATCTACACAAAGTGACTTTTTTTTAAAATTTCGATTCAACATCTTGAATCCAGATCTACATATAATTGCAGATAAGATTTTTTAATTTTTGATAACACTTTTTGGTTGTTGGTTTGGTTGTAATGGTTCATAACTCTGCTTCACCTCGCACTTTACACTGTTCAACAACGACAATTTTTCAGTTTCAGTTTTGGTGCGGTAAGAAAATGCTATTGAGCAGACTGAATTAACATTTTTTTTCATTTGTGAGGAATATTTTTGTTTTTTTTGAAACATCACTTATACAATGTGACTATTTTTTTGAAAATTTCGATTCAACTTGTCGAATCCAGGTCTGCACATAATTTTTTTTAATTTTGGGAACACTTTTTGGTTTTAATGAGACCTACGCTGGGCTCTGCCGCCTCGCCTGGTTCTGATTTGTAACGGTCCATAGCTTTTTTTGAAAATTTGGATTCAACTTGTTGAATTCAGATCTGCACATAATTGTACATAAAATGTTTTAATTAACACTTTTTAACACTTTTTACTTTTGAGAAGACATCCGCTCGGCTCCGACCTCGCCTCACTCTGATTTGTAAAGGTGCATAGCTCGGCTTCGCCTCGCACTGTTCCCTGTTCAACAAAGACAATTTCTCAGTTTCAGTTTTGGTGGGATAAGAAAATGATATTGAGCAGACTAATTTTTTTGAATTTGTGAGGGATATTTTTGTTTTTTTGGAAACATCATCTATACAAAGTGACATTTTTTGAAAATTTCCATTCAACTTGTGGAATCCAGGTCTGCACATAATTGCAGATAAGATTTTTTAATTTTGGTAACACTTTTTGGATTTGATGAGGCATACGCTCGGCTCCGCTCGCTCTGATTTCTAACGGTCCATAGCTCGGCTTCGCATCGCAATATCTCTCCTCCTTCGCCCTCTACAAATTTTTAAACTAAAGATGGTTTTACTTTTTATTAGTAAAATGTATTTGTAGTAGTATTTTTATAATATTTAAATGACTAATTAGGATGTAAATTGCTTGAATTTTGATTTTTTTGTCGCAGATTTGAAATCAGCGACCTCAAATTATCCTTAAACGATCACCCCCATGCCATCATTGAAATATAAATATTTATTTTTTAGTCAGTGACAGTTTTTTTCCTAAATGGCCGCCATATTGGTTCCACAGGGTGGGGGAAGGGAGTGCTGCGAGTCAAATCGATCTATTGGACAGACACATCGTTTATGGCAAGTGGCTTGCTTTCTGCATTGTTCGTCAGATTTTTTCGATTTTTAATATGTACCGCTTAGACTACACCAGTTGCAAATTTTGGTTGTGCGCATGCGCAATGCCAACTTCCTTATTTACTGAAGCATTTAAATGAATTTTAATACATAGGCACTTCGAATACAAGCAAATCTAACACTGGTGTTAAAATTTGGTTAGGCGCATGCAAAATATCACATGTAGGCACTTTGAATGAAACTAAAACTAAGACCGGTTTCAAAATTACTGTTTACGCATACTGTATGTTTTATTTATGAAGGTTTTTAATGAAATAATACCGCCTTTTATACTTATTATATTTTTTACTCTTTTCGAAAAGATGTCAACAAATCACACTTTTTAAGCTCTACAAAATGGTGCCCACAGATTTTTACTGCGACGTTTCCTCTTTGAACAACCATTAATTTCATATTTTTAATATGCACCGAAAAAAAAGTACATACTGTATCGGGTAGCACTTTCTACTACGAATACTATTATGTGCGGCCGGGTGTGCGGCTCAATATTTTTTATTAGATATGCCATTTAAAGGAACCATCAATGAATTATTTTGACATTTTGCCAACGCCTACTGCACCACAATGTTAAAAATTGAATAACAAGCATTTTTCCTGACTTAAATAATAAACATTAACATTTTGGTGTAGTAGGCGTTAACAAAATGTCAAAACAATTCATTGATGGTTCCTTTAAATGATTTGGCTAATAATAATCATATTGTGCCATACATCATTGTATTTGTTTTAATTTCAAAAATGCTACTCAATACAGTGTGTACGTTGTTTCTGGTTCATATAAAAACACTGCCGGATTAACCAGTAGGCAGATTAGGCAACTACCTAGGAACCCCGTGTCGACTAGGGGTCCTTGCACCCACCAAGAACAAAGATGAAAATGTTTCATTTTATATGAAAATTTGAAAATAACGGAATCTTATAAAATGTAAAGTATTTATTTCGCTGCGCCCCATACTTAAATATATTTTTGACTTTAAAGCTATCTAACTTTTAAGTGCAATACATTAGCCAGCCAAGCGTATGATGAGGTTTTTTCTAATTTTTCTGCATTACCTATTCTCTAAATGAACACCATACACGAGACCATACAATATACATGACTAAGGTAGTAAAAAATAAACTTTTTATTGGCGGATCACATGACCTATGTTGCTATTTAAAAAAATTAAGATGACGGTAGCACTCAAACACCATGGAAAATAACAAAATGTTAACCTCAAAATACCAGGTCTGTCAATAAATTAATGACAATGTACCGTATGATCGAGTAACACTAGGAAAGCGGGACATGGAGGGGAGATAGTTGAACATCTCATGCGTTGTCAATATAAGTTAGAAGTGCTTTGAATGTAGGTTTTTTGTGTGCTGAAATGAGCGACAACAATTTCGAGCAACAATGTGCCATCAGGTTTTGTCTCAGACTTTGTAACTG